ACGGCACGGCAGCGGGGCACCGCCGCCATCCCGCGGCCGCCGGACCCTCCGCACCGCTGGCCGGACCCTCCGTGTGCCGCGCCGCCCCTCCCGGCTGTCCCGCACTCCGCTCCGGCATCGCCTCTGTGCCYTCTTCTTCAGCAGAAAGGCAACTGTGGGAGCGGGTTGACAGCCGGCTGAACGCGAGCCAGCGTGTGCCCGGGGAACAGGAACGCCCGTGGCAGCCTGGCCTGGGTCTGCAATAGTGTGGCRAGCAGGACCAGAGCAGAGMTTGTCCCCCTACCCTCGGCACCTCGAGTSCTGTGTCCAGTTCTGTGCCTCTGACTRCAAGAAGGGCACTGAGGTGCTGGAGAGAAGGGCAACAAGGCTTGTGAAAATTMTATCGAGAGAGAACATGTTGTATGAAGAGGGGCTGAGGGAGCTGGGTTTGTTTAGAAGATTCAGGGGGCACCTCATGGCTCTCTACAATTCCCTGAAAGGAGGCTGTGTGAGGTGGGGGCCGATCTCATCCTGCAGTGAGAGGATGAAAGGAAAGACTTTAAGCTGAGGCATAGGAGATTCCGATTAGATATTTGAAAAAAATTCCCATTGTTAGGGTGGTCAGGCATTAGAATAGGTTGCCCAGGGAGGTGATGGAGTCACCAYYCCYGGAGGTGCTCAACAGGCATCTGGATCTGGCACTGGGTGATGATTTAGTGATTCAGGGGTTACARTGGCAGTGYTGGGTGGATGGTTGAACTTGATGATCTTAGAGGTCTCTKYCAGCCTTGATGATTCTATGATTCTTGCTACCTACCARCACTCAGCTCAGAGCCATTGGCTGTGGGGGCTGCAGAGGTCCTGACGAGCCTRTCAGGTTCCTGCTGGAGTGGAGGCAAGGAAGAAGAGGAGAGCTGTCCACTTTCTCCTGTCCATACTTGGGATAACATTGTTTCCTGCTGCCTTCTTTCACCTTAGGTTCTGGCTCCTGCAGTGGAATGGCTCCTGAAAGGTCCCCTAGAGTGAGGGCTGTTGCCAGCAGCAGAAACTGAGAATATTGCTCAGGCAGCACTGGGCAATGCTGCTGTCAAAACAGTGCCCTGAAAGTGCCAAACCCAAAGCACCACGGTGCTGACAAACCCCTTGGGCAGGGACAGCGGGGCACACATTCCCTACCCTCATGCCTGCCTGTGCCTGCGGGAGCTGCCACCTCTCGCAGGTCAGTCCAGGCCAGGATGATGTCCAGCCTTGGTTCTGCCTCAGCCTGTGCAGTGGATGCTGTGTTGGCACTCCGGGGAGGAGGAGGACAGAGGCAGCTGGTGTGCCTTGCTGTGCTACTGAGGGATGTGGCACTGCCCGGTTTGGGCTGCCAGCAGCTGAGCCCTGTTGAGTGGCCCCCAGATCACCCTGTCCCTTCCCAGGTCACCCTGTCCCTTTCCATGGAGAGTGCAGCTGGAGCTGTGACTCAGGCCAGCTGAGAGGGGCTGCAAGTTCCCCATGCTCCCAAACCTGCTCTGGAGGGGATTGACCCACTCATGCCTGTTCAGCTGCTGACACTGTGGGAACGGGTTCCCACTGCATGCTTCCTTGGCTCCCTGGGGCTCAGCATGAGACATTCCTCCGTTTCTCCCGGGACTGTGGTATCTGGATATGTGTCCTTGGATTTCTCCATTCCTCTCACTCTGGRAATGCTCTGTGCTGTACTCCTAGGAGAAGAGCTGCCCTTATAAGCAAGCTCAAGGAGTTTTACACATTTTGGTTGTTGCTGTGCTGTGTTTTGCTTTGTTTGCAGTGCTATGGGTAATAAGTGATGGAAAGGGGTGAAATGTACAGACGGACAYGCCTTGCAAACCCAGTTCTAGCTACAAAAAATATTTTACCCAGTTCACCTMTTTTCTCTGTCTCCTGCCAGTTGCCAAGCATCTCCCTCACAGGCCCCCAAATTCCTGTTCATCAGAGTATCAYAAGCCTGGATACTCTTGGGCAGAGAACCGCAGGGTGTTTAATTAACCTGCAGTAGCTTACTTACCAGAGCAAACCTTTCTGACATGAAATCACTGTCAGCAGTCCACTTGGCAGGAGGAAGAATGTAGCTCTGAAAGGAGAACATCAATCCATTTCCTTTCCTTTCTTCCCCTCAAATCTCTTTCTTTCCATGCCAGGCAGGAGGCAGTGCCCTTGCCTGTGCTTGAAGCAGTTTTTCCTCCCCAGGGAGGAGTCCTTAGTTCATACTTTAGTGCAGAAGGACCTCTAGTGTCCCTTCCCAGCTCATGCTTTGGCATCWCTGCTCCAGCTCAGTATTTCTTGTTCTGGAGACTTTCCCACGTACTGTGGAAGGAGGTAAGATCTGCAAAGTGCATGTAGGGAAGCGGCTSGGAGAGATAAGGCTGGGCTGCTCCTCCCTGGGCAGAAGTCAATCACTGTATGCCCCAGATGCACCTCCACATCCTTTTTTCTTCACCTCAGGGACCTCCAGTGCCTTTTTGTGCACCAAAGGCTGTTCCATCTAAATATGTTACATTAGATGCTCCTGCTGTCTTACTAATGAATTTTCCACTGTGTTTCAGTGAACATCAGTTTAAATCTGTAGATTCGTGTTGAGTGCCCCCCCCCAAAAAAAAAAATCTCTTCTTAGTATTCTTCTTCTTTCTTGCTTCTTTAGCAGCATAAATTCTCATAAACAGATTGAATTTAATTAGGGGCAGCTGTTAGGAATAGATTAAAAATGTTCCTATGTGTTTTGTTTGATCTGTTTCATCATTCATGCGGGTATCCCTTATTTCATCTCTAAGATTGTCCTGCGTGCATCACTCTAGTGAGACAGTGTGGGAGGTGGGCCAGGCAGGGTGGCCTTTCTGGGAGGGAGGAAGCTCGCAGGATCTTTGAAGGCAGGGAAGATTTAGCGGAGACTATGTGAGAATGGAAGCAGATGGGTTTTAGACGTTGATGTATTTCCAAACTGAGCGTTTCACTTGTGATTTGACTTCCCCGAGCCYAGCAGCCCCTCCGGGTTTGCGTGGGCTCTTTGTTGGGATACAGCTGAGTAGCAGAGTAAGTCTCTCCACAGGATGGACACGGACGGGTCACTCTCCCAAGTGAATAACGAAGTCAAACAGCGCATTCTCCACATGGAGGATGCCGGCATCCCTCCACCCGTCTTCTGCTTTGCCCGCTCCTCCCCACCAGGACAGCAGCATCTCCGCCGGSTGAGGAGAGCCGGGAACCCACTGGAGCCCAGTAGCTCACGCCTTTTCACCGCAGGAGCCAGTTTCCCAGCTCCGGACTCAGAGACACCGGGAATCCCTCCCGCTCCTCCTCCCGCTGCCGCGGCCCCTGATGAGTTTCGGTTTCCATTTCCCCGCCGTGGCGTTGCCGGTGCTGGCCGGGCACTCCTTGGGCACTCCCCGGGCACTCCAGARCTGTCGGCGGACGGGGGATGGCGGCGGGACGGCGGCGGCGGCGCCGGGGGAGCGGCAAGAAAAGTACGGACGGAAAAGAGGGAGCGGACGGTCGGGAGGGTCCTGGGAGACCCCCGGGGATGGGGTGGCGAGTGGGCGAGGACGGGTCCGTGCAGGTGGAACCGCTGAAGTTGCAATAATTTGCTGTGCGGCTCCTCCGGGACGGGGCATGAGGGGCTTAAACGTGTCCCAGTGTGCAGCACTGGGAGCAGGGGACTGGCAGGAGGAAGAACATCTCGGGAATAGATGGGGATTTTCCTCTTAAGCTCCGTGTCTGATGTGTGACAAGGGTGGGCAGCGAGTGTCCAGAGGTGTTGGGTAAATCAGGGCGGGATTTGCTGATGACCGCCTTTCACTCTGGGGTCTCAGACACTTGCACTGGAGCAGAGTTGCAGGCGAGTGACTGAGTAACCTGGTGCCTCTAGGTCCGGAGAGCACCTGCAGCCCCTCAGCTATAGACAAGGAGGTACTTCCTTCTGCTGTCAAGAGGCAATGTATTTCCCATTATTGCCTCTCCAGCATCTTGTAAAATGCTTGACTTGAAGGCATCTCCTATCCCCAAGGCTGTGMCAAGTCTGGGGTGGCCAGATACCTCAGGAAGTGTTTTGTCTCCCTCAGACACYCTCCACATATGCACAAAAGCAACAGGCTGCACTTCTGCTAATGTTTTACTGGTTATCTTGGCAGCTGGTGACACAGCAGCCTAAGAGATGGAGAAAAGTCTTTCAGCATAGAGACATCCAGCATGAAAAAACAAGTGGGGTGGCAGGACACTGAAAGCCCAAGAGGCCTGAGAAAGCACACAGAAATCTTGGGGATGGGGCCGAGGTGGTGGAAGTGCCTGCTGCCATAGCATGCCCATCGTGTCTCTCTGTGTGTGTCCCACAGAGCACACGGAGTCGCAGAAGGAGGAGAAGATGCAGTGCTCAAACCATGATGCAACGCACACGCTTGTTCTCTCTGATGATGGGAAGGTTTCTGAGCACTGGGCTAAAGCTCCAGCAGACTGCCCTGAGACAAGGTAAGAAGCCTTCAGAGTGTGGAGGTGTGGATGGCAATTGGCAGAAAATGCATCTTGCTTTTCCTTAAGGAAACATCCAAAAGTTGAAGCATGTTCCTGTTGTAGAGGGGGAACTGGAACACATACTGTCCTAGTACCCAAAACTTTATCTTCTTTTTTAACCCAGCCAGAAGTGCACGGAATTTTGAGGTTGATACCAAGTTCTGAGCGGCTTGGGATGCAAATGAGACAGGTTTTTCTCAAAATTAGTAACAATCAGTAGACTATACCAGAGCAATGCAGGTAACTTGCAAACCACACATGGCTTGGGAAAACTGCAGGTGAAAGACACAAGCATGTCTGAACCCTGCCACCTTCTGGTTAAGCTGTGAGGATAACCATCACCTACAAATGGCACAACAGTTTGCTGTGTGACTTTCTGTTATCTTTCCCTGGGCGGGATAACAGAACCAGGCTGAGCCTGTTTTTTCCCACCTTCTCGTGGGGCAAACCACAATTAATCAAATCRATTAGCCCTGCTACAGCAGGCCAGCATAAAAGAAGGGTGAATCAGCTCACAAGTGACATAGTTTTCCACATACTTCGTGAAAAAATTATAGGGTTTGGTGAACAGAGGCTCTTWGCTTTTTTCTTTGTCTCATGGCACAGCACCTATTTATTTTGATTTTTTCCTTATTTTTGTAGGCTGGTGCAAGAACTGGGAGACCGAATTATTGTTCAAATAGCATGTGGGGACCAGCATGCCATGGCACTATCCAGAGGTAGCCTCTTTCAAGAACATTTTTCCTCCAAACAGGAGCCAAGCTTGCTCTGAGAAGGCAGTGTTTGTACTACCTGCAGTAGTTGGTGAAACCATTATAGAGTAGTGAGMAGTGGGGACACAAAGTGCACTGGCTATCAGTGCTGCTCCTTCCTCCCAGCACCCAGGGACCTGCATCTCTCTCTGTCTCCATTTCCTCAGCACTGCCCCTCTACAAATGTGTGTTGTGGAGAGCAGAAGTRGCTGCCCCACTCTGTGGTCACCAGWCTTTCTCATTCTTAAGTTGSAACACCTTTGTGATTGGGAACTTCCTGCAAGTATGACTTTAGAGGTAGAAACAACTGGCTTTATTCTTGCTGTGCTGAGTCACATGGCAACATGGGACTGTCCCAAAGAGGTCAGAAGCAGACAGAAATTTGGCCACACCTGATGGTCTTGCCTCGGAGCTTGGTCCCTGAAAACTACACTGAGTCTTRTTCCTAGTCCCAAAGAGCAAATACTCAAGGGAAGCAGTGAGGCTGACCTGTTTTCTTTTGTTCTGTGTGTGAAGGGGGTGAGCTCTTCACCTGGGGCCAGAACACCCACGGACAGCTTGGAGTGGGGAGCCAAACCACGCTTACTCCCAAACCACAGCTGGTAGAAAGGTTGAAGGGCATCCCACTTGCTCAAATTGCTGCTGGAGGAGCTCACAGCACCACCGTGTCACTYTCTGGAGCTGTGTACTCCTGGGGAAAGAACAGTTTTGGACAGCTGGGACTCGGAGACACAAAAGGTAAGGAAGGAGAGCACCAGGAGGGTATTTTCCTGATCAGTGAATTCACCAAATCACTCCTCAGTATAGTCAAGCTCCCATGGAGCAGCAGTGGACAGTAAAGTCTTGAAGAAAGTATTTCTGGATAGGAAAGGCATGCAGGAACAATGGATTTAGGGGCTGTATTTCTATAGAGAGCTTGCAATAATTTTACGTGGCTAATTGGATAGCATGGGCTCATAAAACCTCTGAGGTCTCACAAGTCTATTTCCACTCCTGTCCTCTCTCCAGGAAGTCTTGAATGAAAGAATTTTATATTTTTTTATCTTCTTTAATTCTCTGTAAACACAAGGTGAGAGAAGAATTAAAATCACCTGTTGTCTTCAAACCTAGAAAGCAAGAAAAGAGTTGCCCTAGCCAGGCAGAACCTGAAGACAGCAGATTCTAATCTGAAGGAGTCCACACCCTTGACAATCAGATATTTTGATGCCAAGTACCACTTGGCAAGCAGATGTGAAAGTACTGCATTTTCTTTCAGATCAAAGTAAATGAAAATAAAGTCATATGAAAAAGGCAGAACATTATGAGAAAGAGTATGTTATACTGGAGGAAAAACGACACAAACCCAAATTGTAATTACATGAATTGCTGTAAGAGAGGACTGAAAAGTGTTTAATCCTATTTTCAAATTTTTCTGTATATGAGACCCCTCAGCACTCTTTCACTTTAGCAGTATTATCTTTCTTCCAGACAGGGACTGTCCATCATACGTGGGAGCTTTAGAGCACTGGAAGACAATATTTATCTCATGTGGGGCAGATCATACTGCAGTTCTCTCCAAGGTGAGTCTGAAATGGAAAGTCAGCATCTGAGACCTCACCTTGTGAGAAAAGATACACTGCTAATATCCTCATGGAGAAATTGGGATGGTCATGCCTGCTTCCACCTGTCTGAAGGTGATCCCCAAGGGATGTTGTTGGGAAAACTAGTCTTTTCTCATATTCATGTCACCTGCATGCAATCTTTTTGCAGGGGTATGTTGAAAGTGAGTCCTGAGGCAAAGAGGTGCAGTTCAACTCCCAGTATTTTTTGAGAATATTTTCTTTTTTATAGTATATTGGAGACTTCAGAASATGCTAACAACATCTAATTCACTAGCATTTACTCACGTGAGTAAAATTCTTAAGCAACGGGGAGTTATTCTCAGGAGTTCAATTGCTTTTCTCAGGAGTGAAATGATTCAGACTTCACAGTGAATGATTAGGCTTGATGTAAAGTGAACCTTATTCATGTTTGAATCAGGGATATTTTGAACCAAGGCCCATATAATGTATCTTGCTTGCTCTCACTCTTGGTTCTGACCATTTGAATGTTGTTAATAATGCAGTGATCATGTTGTTTGYTTTGTCATTTCAAGGAAGGGCTGGTGTGCACCTTTGGAGCAGGAGAGGCTGGCCAGCTGGGTCACAACTCCACCCAGAATGAACTCCTGCCTCGTGAGGTGGCTGAGCTGCGGGGAGCAAAGGTTTCACGAATTGCCTGTGGCAGGTGGGAAATGCCAATGACATGTCTCCTAAGGTCAATGCCTTAGGGGAATCACTGAAGAACAGCAGGGAGGGGAGTCACCAACATGTTCAAATCCCTGTATTTTAATAGGTCAGCAGTGTGRGTATCCATCCACTCTCCAAGTATAAACCACCCTCCTTCCAGAGCCCCAGTGAGATCCCTCAGCCTATGGTGAGCAGRGGGAGAGAGCTGCAAAAACCACCAGAAGCCCTTAGTTCTTTTCTCTTGTAATAAACAAAGGATGTACTGGGTTCCAAAGGGCAAAGGACTGTCAAAAGTCTGCATTTGGAAAGTCACTGAATTCCCATCCAGACTGATAAACTGGTGGCTTCTGAGTAAGAACTGAAAAGCAGTGATAATTATCCAGTTTCAGTTTACCCTTCTGGAACTGGGCCAGAAAAAAATCCCCTGACAACTCACCTGGATTTGTTATCGGGGTTAACAGCACAGCAGCTGCACTTTTAAAAACAGAAGGGTGTGAARCAAGCAAAGTGTAACACTATTTTTGTGTGTGGAACCAARGTAAATCACAAACATTAGAGGATATTATAGGAAATCTGAGTYCATATGTGYCTTTATTRCTGAATGTTTATGCAATGAAGAGTTCTAACACTTTGRTTAAAGGGATTATTTATCGGAACTGCCAGGACTTCTAAAGAAAAGCCTGAGGTCTACGCTCTGCAAATGTATCTGTAAATTCTCTTCTGTCTTGCCCAGRGATTTTTGCTTATTATGGCTTCTTTTTCTTGAACAGACAACACACTCTGGTCTATGTTCCTTCCTTGGACAAATTCTATTTCTTTGGTTCTGGTGATGAAGGACAACTGGAAGATGAGAGGAAGCTGAATCAGTTGATACCAGTTCCCATCAGTTTACCAGTGAACACTGAAAAATCCTGCCAGAGTAATGACCACTTCAGATGTATATGATCTGTATTTGTTTTTTTTCCGTGGAGATGTTTGCTTTCTTGACTTCATGTTTACATTGAGAGGCAAACATTATGTCTCATGCTTGCTTGCCCATCCCAACAAACTCTACCATGAATCATTACATTTGCTGCTTGATTATCATGGGTTAAGGCCTCATAGAATCAACTTTTCAATAGATTACTACTACCTGAAGAGCTTTCTTACTGTTCACTTTTGTACAAGCACTTAACTCTCTGAAAATAATGGCTGTCTCTACAAATGTTCCTATGACAATCATTTTGTTCTTTCACAGAAAAGAATGCATCAGAAGAGGGATCTAAAATTACTGCAGGTGTAAACCAAAGTTTTGCCCGTTGCAAGGAGGAGAATAAGGTATGTGCACATTTAATCATAGCTTCTGATGCTACCACTGTCTACATTACTGCTGGAAACATTCAGATTTCTCATCSTGCTTGTAGCACTCCAATTATATGTATGTCCATTGCAGTTTTTTCTGTGTTTGCCTACAAATCAACTTGTATTGCAATTCTATGTTTTTTGTGGTTAATGCATCTGGAAGCTGGATGACAATTAACTTGTTCATACTTAGGCTGAAATATTCTTGTAAAGATTGCCTTGAAAAAACAGAACCTCATCTGCTACACTTGTAATTTTGTCAATGTTTTCATGCATTTCACACAGATTTCRTATTTGAATGGAATTGCCACTCTGGACGACAAAGAAGTGGATGCATGGATTTCAAATTCTGAATGTTCGGAGAATATAAAAAAGTAAATCAGATACTTGCTGTTTGGGTTTGGTTGTTTTGAGGGTTTTTTTTTCCTGATACATGATTTTCTCTAAAAATTACTGTTCTTTGGAGGCTGTTGTAGGAACTCATGTTCAATTATTTAGCCAAGGCATAACTTTGTACCAGCACTTCCCACCTAGTTTTTGCATAGGAAAAGGAGATGTTGATAAGCAACAGGAACAGAGCAGATGTACTTACTTCATGGCTTCAGAAGCCTGTCCTCTTCTTGCACAGAATGGTTGTTAAGTTGATGAGGAGYTGAAAAGTTAAATTAGTGAAAGACTCTGCCTGCAGACCAAGGCCTTGTGCAAAAAGCCTAATCCGGAGTCCCCAAGCTGGAATACTGTGTGTGCATTTAAAAATTAGTGGCCACTTCTTTAACTACCCATTTTCAAAAGCAGTATGCATATACCACTGTGGGATGCCTTGCACTTATGGCTGAGAATTACGTTCATGTAGACTTTCTCAGCTCTTACGTGGGAGGTTATTTTGTTCGGGAARGTCTGACTCCAGCTGCTGATTTTCAGCATTTTAAAAGCTTGGCTAACTTGGAACTAAGTATTTCCCTGACAACTTTTAGAACAATTTGGATCATATGGAAAGTGGTTGTTGAGAGGGTGAGAGAGGGAGGGTTCTATCCAGATCTCAACAGGAAGGGCGTGACAGCAAATTGCTTGATCAAATAGCTGCTTCAGTAAGAATAGGATCAGGAATACAGGGAGTGGRTAAGTCTAACATCCCTTCAGATTCTGAGAACCCAGCTTTTGTGCAGCAGTAAATTGATAGCCTGATGGATTTTACCTCYACATGCTACAAAGATCCTGTCCTTGGAGGGGATCCTCCTTCCTCCTGTGCTGCAGTGCCTTCTGTTTTGCACAATAAACAAAAGCAGCTGATGTACTGACCTGTAAGGGGAAGATACCTCCATGAAAACGCTCACCACAATGGAACACTGGCTGGCCTGGAGAGCTTGAGCAAGTTCSCTTACAAGGCCCAGGAGAGCAGAGKTGGTTTGCCAAAGGTCACTAACTCCTCAAATACAATGTCTTCTGCAACACTGACAATGACATGGTGCTTAGARAAGTTTTGTATGGTCAGGTGCAGACACATTCATACACATGATTTTTGTTCTTTCAGAATTAAAAACCTGAAGCTGAAAAGATTGACTTTTTGGTTTTCTATTATCAGGAGTATCAGACTCATCTTTTCATCTGAGGCTTGCATCAATGGAAGCTTCCTGGACAAAAGGTAGTGCACACTGACTTAGATATAACAGAATATATTGGCTGAATATAAACTGACCAGAAAGTGTTATTTTAGGCCATGTATACAGAAAAAAATAGTTTTATCTGAATTTGCAAAAAGCAAGTTTGTATTTTTCGAAGCTCAAAGTAATGTTAAGATTTTTATAGCCCGGGTCCTACCATGTGCTAGAGAAGCTCACATTCTAGAAGATTATCCTGTAGTGGTATTTGGCAGATGATTATAAACCCTTCAGGCAATAGTACAGGTCTCAAAGGATCCATAATAGCTGCTTCTGGCACTGAAGTGGAAGTCATTTTAGGGTGAAATACAGGAGTCTACCATTAATAGTTCACAGTTGCAAAAGCAGAAAGAACAGGATATTAATGAGATCACAAAAGAGTTGTCTGTGTTGTCTACCTTCTTAGAACACATGAAATTACACCCACTGGAGTTGGGTGTGAACTTTTCAAGAATTTTCTGATGTCATCATGCTTCATTATTCAGGCAGTAGAAAAACTACTTAGAGCTCTTTTTTCTTATGTTGTAACAGAGACAAACATTTCAAAACGTCCAAAGAAGTCTCAGGTGTAGACATATCCGAAGTGAAACGTTTTCACGAGAAGATCAGTAAGAAGCAAACAGTCTACCGGGAGGTAAGGATTTGATATAAGGATGGTCCTTATACAGATACTGAGAAGCTTTGGATTTGTGCATGAAACTTAGGAATTTCATGCCAAGCTAATTACTTTGGCAAAACATAATTGTATTTTAACCTTGTCTCTTTTTCTTCTGAAGGTGCAAAAGGAGATAAGGAACTTACTGTCATCATTGTCTTCCTCCCCCATCTCACCTGAAAATTTTAGAGTCTACTTGATCTTGCCTTTCCTTCTCCAAGGAAAAGATGGAGACTCTTTTCTTTCTCTGACTCTTCTGGCTCAAGCCATCATGGAGCTYCAGTCAGAAGGCCTGCAAACTCTTGGTAGGAGCTTTATGATAGAACTGAATGATTTAAATGCTTGTTCCTTTTCTTCTGCATAAAAAGAGTTATTATCGTGGATCTGGAGTTTGAAATAATTGCTTTTGATAGACATGGAAACATGGGAACTGCAGTAAGACACAAGAATTATAAAAATTTTATAGGAGGTTTACTCGCTTTTGTAGTGCAAGCTTAAACATTTTGTTTAATTCTAATTTTGTTTAATTTGATAAAAAGGGAAAAAGCAGCTTCATCTTCAAATTGCAGTGATTTGTCTGTTACTTGTGACCTCACTAGGTTTTTTCTTTACAGAATGCCTATGGTCAAATCTAGAAACATCGTTTTTCACGGAGCTGGTCTTTCTCTATCAGAGAGTTTCCCAGAATAACCTGCTTACATTTTTCTGGGAGTTCCAAGCCAGTGTGCCAGGCGTCAATCTGCGCCCAGCTGAAACGGGGCCTCTGCAAATACTGCAGATGCTTTACCAGGTGAGAAAGTGTGTGGATCCCAGTTAGACAGGGTGTATCAATGTAGCTTAGAATATTTTAATACTCCTCACTTGTTGAATTCTCTGGGTGTGMCACTGCTTCAGGAATCTCTTTGGCTGTACACCAGCACAGTTTTGAGGGAGTCCTGCTTGAATTGTGCCAAACTGACACTGAAGAAATGAAATCAAAGCGTATCATAGCCCCTGGCAGGGGAATAATGCTTTCAGTGGTGTCAGAAGTGCATGTACTGATGCCTACAGAGCTATGGATGTGGTGCCCTCTACATAACCTGCCCCTTCCCCTTTCTGCAGGTGAGATCCCTCACCCCTGTTACTGCTCAGGGCATTTAAAAGGCAACTTACCTGCTTGGCACATTGTGGCTGCCACAGTAATGATGTGTGATGCTTTAAGAGCCTGTTAACCTGAGAAATTCTCTGGGACAGCTGTATTAGAACCTCTTTAGCTGCACATGAACACAGAGAACAAAGAAGGCAATAATTGTGTTCTTCTGGATAACCATACTTTCTCCTGTGAAGATGTTCAAAGTTTATGGAAGTCAAGAGCTCAAACACACAGTATAAGTTCAGAGAGACTTGTTAAATTTTGTTCAGAATTGAATATCCTTTTGGCTGAGAGTGCAGAATTGGGCCTGAAAGTTTAGATTCTTGAATCTGTATTTATCCAGATAAATAAAGTCAATAATGCAGCAGGCCTACTCTGTGATTACATTGTTTGGAGCTTTACATATTCACTGTCCCCCACAAATATTGTCAGGCAACAAGTAGGAACGTGAATAGGAAATTACAGAGTGTTCTGCAACATGAAAGACACTCCAAGGGAAACATTCCTTTCCTGATGGAGTCATGTTAAGGGATCTTCATTGTAAAAGAAAATTGCTTTCCTGTTAGTTTATACATGGCTTTTTGAGATTCTCACTGTGGAGCACTGTGCTACTTGTAGCACTTTTATCCCTTAAMTTCTGTGCAGGTGTCAGAGCTCTTTCTGCAGAAAGCCCTGTCARTCCTGCCCTGCCACACAGACACACAGCTCATTAGATCTGCTGCTGATACATTGCATGTTTCAATACAGGTGAACTCCAGAACTGGTTTCAAAGTACATGAAAGCGACTTCCATGTACCTGAAGTGAGAGATATTATCACCTCATGTTTGGTCTCCAATTCAGTAGTAAGTATAAATCTTACCAGCAGTGTGAAACTTTTTTTTTCTTTTATTTAAATAATTTATATATATATATATATATATATATATATGGAAGTCAACTCTTGAGACTAACCCTATACATCTCAAAGATATTTCATTTTCCCTAGTGCTCCAGTGCTCTAAATTATGCAAGCCCTTTACCATCCAAGTGTTCTAGCAGCTACAATAGTGTCTTTCCTGAGATGACCCTCAGTTCTGAGAGCTGGAGCTGCCCTCCAGCATCTTAAGCAACTTTGTTTGCTTTGAACTAGTAATCACTGTGAAATGGCAGCATGAGGGATGGTTGCTATAATTCTTATTACTCTGGATTTTATTAAGTTTAATTAAGAAAATTTTGAGGTGTCTTTAAACTTTTTATTTAAAAGCCCTACTGAGCATTTAAATTTACTTGTCTCTTAAAACAAAGACCTGGTAATAAAAAATAATCGGTAACATTTCCTGATGACATGGTGTGAAATGAACTACCAAATGCAGTCAGTGTCAGAGGAAGCAGTATGAAATGGAAATGAGCATAATAGGGGTTTCCTTTGACAAAAAAAAATGTAGCTTTTTGATAACTTGGCTGGAATTTGTGGGGCAATTGCCTAATTCCTTCATAAGCTTTTATTTGCTGATGTGCCAATTTTGTACCAATTAATTGGAGTGGAGGTGGAGGTTTGAGAAACAGCATAGAATCAAAAGCCAATTTAGGACATTACCTGAAGCTGCTGCCTTATCACACTGGAGGTGTCACACTTTGAATTAGATTATTTTTATACCATTATCTACTTTTGGAATGACATATAATAAATCCAGCAATTTTTTAAAACAATGTACCATAATGTACCTGGGTATCCAGGACATTTTTACTATGTGTTTTGGTTTAGCTGAATTATGGATGATGCTGTTAAAATCACTGTTTTATTCTTGAGGACTACTGTAGACAAGTGTGTCTGCACAGAGAGGTTAGATGGCCCTCTCTTTCTCACTCACAGGAGTGTTTATAATGATGTTTTTAGGAAGTGAATCTCTGTCAGAGCAGTGCTCATGCACACAAAGGCTCATTTCAGGGACACGGGAGTTTGCCAGGGTACAGACTGGCAGTTCAGTCTGCACACACACCCTTGAACTCTGGTTTCATGAGGTAAAATCAACACATCTTTTCCCTTCTTCCTTGTCACTTCAGATAGTCCTATGGCAGCTGAGCAAATACCCATGCATCTTTGACAGGAAAAACAAGATCCACGTTCATATTGCAGAACGCAGTGCTCTGATGACCAAGATCTTTCCTGTAAGTGCAGCCAATTTTGTTACCGATCAGAAGAGATAAACACACTGCTAACACACTAATACTTCAATCCTCAGACGCCCTTTATGTGGAGCTATGAACCATGGAAATTTTGCGTCAGAAGACAATGCCTTCTGCAAGACATATGGGAAAATTTAAAATCCGCCTCAAACCAGGAATTCAGGAAGGTCTTACAGGTAAGATACCAAATTGTATAACTTGTTAGCTCTAAGTATCTTGCTGCAGTGTTCTTTGATTTTCACTGTTACTAAATATCGGTAGAAGGGTTTCAGTATCCTCTGAGCACACAACAAAAGAACTACTCATCAATTAYACATGTTCCATAAATGGTGTAGAGTAAATCTGTATTTTACATTCTTATTCCAGGTAGCTTTGTTGGCATAAGTTAAATGCAAGTGGCAGTGATATTTACTGTGAGGTTGCTTTGGGATAATGCAACAGAATTCCTGAGTTGTCAAAGTCCCACACTGTTAGTGCTAGACTTGACTTTTCAGACTCCATGCTAGTTTGCTGTACATGAAAACCYGGCATCTGGGGAACCAGCCTGAGGGGTCAGCAAGCAATACAGCCACAAAACAACATTTCTCTCATATCTGAGAAATGCTTCATATGCTGTCTGAAGGAAAAGGAAGGACAGTAGTGGCCAGAGTGGTARCAATCTGGTTACAGTGCTGCTGTCTCCATGCGCCTTTACTCTGTGGTTTCCACAGGGACTCAATGGTTGTTGCATTTCCTGCAGAAATCCTGATRCTGCCCTGCCCTGCAAAAGCCATTAGCTGGCTGATGTGGGAACAGGACACCTGCCCAGAGCAGTTCAGCTCAGGGACTATGTGCCTACCAGTCACTAATGYGAAGTCTGGCATCATACCTGTGCCACAGGAACTACAGACTTTGGTGCCCTATTACCCAGTTCTGGTGCTTTCCAAATAAGCTTTCTTGCTGTCAAAGCTTTTYGTTCCCATACACTTCAAAGATTCCCAATGCCTCCCAGAGCTACCTTCCTGCTTCCTCACTATCCCAGCTGAGAGGCATGTATTTACAGAGGCAGTGAGGGTGTGCTCTGTGCTGTCCTCTAGATTAAGTCTCCACCAATTGTACAAGCTCTGACAAACAGCTGCCCTCGAGTCAGCCTTTCAGTGCACTTCTTGTGAGCACTGCCTTTCACATTGTGCATCACAGCATTATTTGCCCAGCTGCGGCCTGAAAAACTTCACTGCACTATTAGTATCCCACAGCATTTACAGCTTGGTGAGTCATTTACAATTTGGTGCTGCATTTCTGCATTTTTCAGCAGGTATAGGACATTAATGCATTTTGTGATGCAGATATAAACTACCCAAAAGCAAATCATAAAAAAGAAACTTTTATCGTAGCAGTGACCTGTCCCTTCAGAGCTGTGTCCCATTATAAAGCTTTTCAGACAGTACTGAGAACTTGGCATGTGGCACTCTCATTGTGGCCCTAGAAACAAAAAAGCTGCAGGTACTGCACATATAGACATAGGTATCATCAAAGAAATGTCTTCATTTAACTCAAGTTTTGTTAAATACCAGCCTGATTTATTTTAATTTTTGTTCTTCTGACAGCAAGACATATTTCAGTACATACATCTGGTTAAAAAAACCCAAAGCTCTCAAAGAAAGATTAATATCACTGCATATTTTAATGTATTCAGTCAGGGCACAGTTCTTGCTAAGGAAGACTAAGGTTTTATTAGTGTCACTACAAATGCACAACACTCTTGAAGGGATAAAACAGAGGGAATCAGTGCTTACTCCTACTCTTTATCTGCATTAGCAGTAGTTAACAATGGGCTGCTGCTTCACACAGTTCCATATGCTACCAGGAAGATGATACCAGTCTATGGCGCCAGAAGGAAACTCTCTCAAATGAACTGTAATACTTGATGACATTAAACAAATCACATTGATTTAGAAAAGCCCAGGGATTAGCAAAGGCATCACACTAGTTGTGCCTAAAAAGTTTAATCCCCATCCAGGTCCACAGGTGAAAGAACACATAAACTGGTATTGTAACAGGAAGGAGGAGGCTGTAGAAACACAGGCTGTTTGTGCTGGTGCAGCCCTGGGGGAAGGTTTCGTCCACGCTGGCCGAGTAGAACAGGCCTGCTAGGGACAGGAAAGGAACGAGCACAGTCAGCGTGGGCAGCGAGGGCAGCAGCCCCGCTCCGGCCATCAGGCCCCGGTACGGCCGTGCCCGGCSGCTCCTCAGGGCTGCTCCGAGCCCTCGGCCGGCGGCTTCTTGTGCGTCTTCCTGGCAGCCTCCGGAACCATGTTCGGGATGCCGTCGATGATGGGGTACGCGATGCCCAGCTCGTCGTTAATCAGCTCGTTCGTAGCTTCTTCGTACCTGACCAGGSAAGCCGGAAGAGGGGAGAAACACCCAAACAAAACATGAGGGGGAGCGACTAACCTGCGTCTGCCCAAGGCCCGGGCGCAGCTCYCCCGCTCCGCTCCGCTCCTCACCTCAGCGGCCGCTTGGAGAGCGGGCACACCAGGAAGCGCAGCAGCGACGGCTCCGGTGGCTGCGGCCGCGCTGGGCCCGAGCCCTGCTCCCGCTCTCGCTCTCGGTGGCACTGCCGGCCGTGCGCGGAGCCGCCCGGAGCCGCCCGGGGCCGCAGCAGGCACAGCGCGGCCGGASCGCGCAGCATGGCCGCCGCTTCCGCCGCCACAGCCCGCCCCGCTCCGCCCCGCCCCGGGCGCTCTGTGCGTGCTGCGGGGCGCGGGACGTGTCGCGGTTATCTTAAAGCAGGATGGTTTTCAATGTGAGATCTTTGAACGCTTTCAGACCTTATCAATGGAACAGGCAGCAGCCAGCATTCTCTAGTTAAGGATATCCGGGAGCTAAAAAGCGTTGCAGTAAATCGAGATGCTGATGTGTGTCTGTATATGCATTGCTAAAAAGTACACAAAGTCCACGTATCCTATAGCTGAATTGTGTTCACTATAATACTAAAAATCATGCCCWCAGGGCAAAAAGACCCCTGCCCATGTGAAGACTATTTCCCTAAGGGTGTGTGTGGAAGCTAGCTGTAACTTCTTTGGAAATTACTTACCAATCAGAACTAGAAAGTTACTAACTCTGCATTTCTGTGTATAAATAATGGCTCGAAAAGTCTGGGGGGTATGCTTRATTTGTGGAATATCACCGAATATCCAGGTTGGCACAACCCTGAAATGAATAATCAGCATCTCTCTCAGGTGTGTAATTACTGGCTTGTTGCACGCTGGGGAATCCTGCTTTATGGGCGACATGGGTGTCTCTATCTACGGGTGTCTTGGTCCTTGCAGGTGGCATTTGTGGGCGAGATAGCGATGGGCAGTGGTGGCGTGTCCCAGGAGCTCTTCAGCATCGCAGCCAGGACCCTCTGCCAGCCTGACACCGGCACCTTCTGCCACTTCCCCTCCGGCCTCGTGTGGTTCCCCAAACAGGTAAGGCAGCCCTGTGATGATGGATGGGGGCCCACCCATGGGAAAAGGCAGTCACRGCTTTCTGGTGTGTTTGTTCCTAACCAGGCTTCGAGCTGTGAGAAGGCGGACACCTTCCTCTTGATCGGGACRCTGTGTGGAATGGCCCTGTTCAACCAACGCATAGTGCCCTTCCCCTTCCCCAGGGCTCTCTACAAAAAGCTGCTGGGCCTGGCTCCCACCCTGGAGGACCTTGAGGAGCTGCTGCCAACTGTGGGCCGGTAGGAGCCAGGCACAGCCTGAGCTTCAGCTGGGTCCCTTGCCTTGATCGTGCACAGGGAGATCCCAGAGGCTGAACTCGGGGCACCCGTGCCATCTACATGTGCCATTGTAGAAGCCACAGATTTCCAAGGAGGTCCTCATCCAGGGCATGGATGTTGCTCTCAGAGGCTGGCATTGCCAAAACAAAAAGCCAAGCCTCTCGGTTTAGAAGGTGTCAGATCTGTGCTCCACAAAAGCTTAAGGTCACACTGTGAATATATAGTTCAAAACACTTTGGGCTCTAGTTTGGACTTGGAACAACTAAGGACCCAGTTTTTAATGTTGTGGTTTTTTCTCTGATTTGCTAATTATCAATTTCCACAATGTTGTTTTGCATAAGTACAGTATTATCAAATGCTGCAGTTGTGCTGATTCTGAGAACCCACGTGCAGGGTTTCCAYGAAGTGGGAGAGGAAATTTCAGGCAGACATAGCAGGGAGAGGTGCTGCTGCCACAAACATWATGCTTCTAGGCCCCTGAAGCCCAGCTTCCCTGGCTGTAAGCAACCAAGAAGATGATAAGCCCGTCTCATGAGCCAGTGACTGTGTTGAGGTGCTAAAGAATCCTCAGTGAATTCAACACAAGGTCACCTGCAATACTTAGAGAGGTGCTGCATYCCAAAACAATCTTCCCAGATCATCCCACTGATCCAAACTTAATTCCTCACCAGATACTGTCTAGAAAGGAGGCTGTGATCCCAAGCCCACTTTGTGTAAAGTTGTCCTCACGGGGCATGGGGATGGATTTGCCTGTAATCCCTGTTTACTGGAGGCATTTGTGCTCAGCTCATGGCAGCAGCATGATGAAATTTCAGGGCCATATATGATAGTTCTSTATGAGTATTGGTGTTGTGTATATGTATACATTTAAATACTGCTTTCCAAAGGATAGTTTTCAGCAGAATTTRGAAGTGCACTGAATAGTCATGKCTCTTCTCTCTTTTTTTCCCTTTTGTTTTTTGACAGGAATCTTCGGAAAATTTTGAATGAAGAATGTGATGACTTGGACATGGACTTCACGGTAAGACCTCCCATGTAGGTACTCGGGCAAGACATGTCCCAGTGGAAATGGCACAACTTGTCTGTAAACTCAGAYTAGTGAGAGTGCTATGTCAGACCTCCAGGAAGAATGAGAGATGTAGCACGTATACATCTGTCATATATATGCCAGCCAATGTTTTAATTTATTTGTGCAGATAATGGAAGAAGGCGATTCCATGGATGTTGTTGAACTTAAAGAAAATGGTGCCAACATTCCTGTCACTAAGGATAACARGTCAGTTTTATTTTTATCTTTCTTATTGTGCTGTCTTGTAGCAAGTGTATGAAATAACATGTCTGTACCCATCCCCATATACTGTTAGACAGCATTGGCTTCTCTATTGTGCCATTGGTCTTGGTCCAATAGGCTGAACACTTCCAGTTCCTGCTTTACTTGCTGCACATGTGCCAGACATTGGCAGTTTGTGTGAGCAGTGGATGAGAAGGGGATCCTTGGACATCCTGGCATCTGCATGTGCAGATACCTGGCATTAACAGGAAAATCCCTAACAAATGTAAAAAATAACCTTGAAAAGTATTTTCAGGGAAATACAATGATTTGTCTGGGAAACCCAGTTATAGGTACACCTCTGTAAGGGYTTTTTAGAGCAAAATGTTCCCTGCTTAGTTACATATATGGAATGTATCTTGTACATGAGGGAGAAGGAGCAATCTGTCAATAAGGCTTTGTGTCAATATTAATCTTGGCACAGAGGACAGAGAGAAATTCTGTATCCTGACTTATGCAGATGACCAGAGGACTCGTAGGGATCCATGAAAGGGCTATTTAGGCAGCTTGAAGCACAGCATTTACATTGAGTTCATTGTACAAGTACAATGTCACTACACAGAGCCCCATCACAAGTAGACAGAGGAGTGAAACTGTTGATTAGCAGCTGTGCAAATATTTATTTTGATTTCAGGGAAAATCTTGAGCATTCAGTGAGAGTTAGGTCTGCTATGTTCCATCTTTATAATGGTCAAGTGTCTGATAGGATTTCATTGGAGTGCTCACATGAAGTGCAAAGGTTGGTACCAAAATGAAGCCATTCTGGCCAGTAGTCTCGTTTATTTGAGAAGATCCTCCCAGCTCATTCAGTGAATAACTAATTGCCAGTGATGACTGGTCAGTAAAGACTGAGTCTGTACAGTACAGAAGGTCATATGGAATAAAGGACTAAGGTATAAAATTCTCTGTAATTCTCCTTTTAGAAAATCATCACCMATGCTTGTTTGGTATCTGTTGCAGGAAAGAATATGTTGATTTGTATGTGGATTACACATTCAATAAATCAGTACAGAAACCATTTGAGGACTTTAAGGAAGGGTTCTTAAGAGGCTGCCCAGCTAGAAATTGGAAGATGTTTTTCCCTGAAGAGCTGCAGGATCTTCTCCAAGGACACACAACATTCGATTGGCATCTGCTGGAAGAGGTGGTGTATAGAAGCACAGTATCTTTCTGCTCTATCTGCTAAGCATAAACTACTTCTGACCTGTTCTTTCGCTGAATGCATAGGTCATGAACAGATGGGCAAAAGCTCAAAGGACTTTCTCTTGTTTTGGTTTGTATCAATGTTCTGTTTTTAATCTACATCAGCTGCAAGAATAAAGGGGAATAAATATYAAGCTGTAACTCAGGGATTGTCATATGAATCTTTGTAAAACAAATGAACAAGCAGATTCCAGAGGTTAAGGGGATTTGAATATCTATGAACAGGATTATAAAATTTATCAGATAAAATGTTGCTTTAAATATAAATGAAAATATTGAGGATTATCTGGCCTGTTTTATTTTTGTCTCTTTGACAGAATGTGATGTACATTGATTATAAAAAGTTAGATCGAACCATCAGGAATTTTTGGACTGTGTTTCACAAGCTACCAGAAGAAAAAAAGAAAAAGTTTATTGGTAATGTATCAGACATTTTAAACTTTTCATAGCCCTTTTCTTTCCCCCCACAACACACATTCTAGATGGTTGCACATAAAAAAAACTATTATAGTACAGTTCCAAACTTTTCAAGCTTTTCAAAGTTTTCCCCTGCTGCTTCAACATTTTCTAGTGAAAACAACGAAGAAGTAACACAAAGAATTGCACAGAGACACCTCTGACCCTCCTCATGTCCCTTGAGGTTTGTGTGAGTGCATCGGACCACCTTGAAGCTTGCAGTTACTTTATCCCTTATTTTTGTGGTTGTCTTGTTGGTCAGAGGCCTCAGTTTACGTGAACACACTGTGTTGATTTTACCTTTCCAAMAGGGTTGCAGAAGTTAGGTCATGCTTTTTAAAGGCAGAAGGTCAGATCTAGCCTGACCTTTCTCATCTGCAAAGTCTGTATTATAAAATAGAAGAGGGCTTGTAGTTACTATGAATCAGTAGRAGACTTTAAACTATATTCAGGTGCAAATTCAACAACGCAAAATACTTTGCTTAGGAAAATAACTGTATGTTTACACTAATTTCCCTTCATGATTTTAATTAACATTAATTATATTCATGATTCTCAGTTAACATTATTTTGGTTTGTTTTTTTTTTTAATTTGCTAACTTGTTTTTGTTTTCCTTTTTTTCTTTCCCTCAGCCTTCTGGTCAGGATCTGATCGAATCACTGGCTATGGACTGGAATTTTCTRGATTTASGATTCRAGATCCTCTACGAGRAGCTCCAGATGAGTCCTATCCGTATGCCACTACCTGCAACTTCACTTTGYTCCTCCCCAGATATAGCAGTAAAAAAATACTCAAAGAAAAGKTGCTTTATGCCATAGAGCAAAATGAAGGTTTTGTCCTTGCCTAACTCTGGAACAGAAGCACTTTAAAGCAAAAATAAGAAAACAAATATTTGTTTCACTTGTTTTATTTTCTCTTAATAATTCCATTTCACTCTTTTCTACCCTGGCTTGTTTTYACTGTACTTTATAAACACCTGTGTGTATTTGCTGAGATTATATGTTGATTATAAAATTCAGCTTCRAGCAGATACCTCATAGTTAGATTGTAAAGTTAGGAAAGAAGAATCCCATTTGGCACACTTGAGAGAAGCAAACTGATAACCAAGCATATTTACATTATTTGTGCAGGCCGGGTGTGCACTATTCTGGTTGTGTTAAGCCAGTGAGCTCCCAGCAGCAGGGATTCTCTGATTTGGGCATTTATACATTAGGAGACACACAGCCAGGATGTGCTAAGCAGTCATCCTTGCAAGGCAAAGCTGGGGTAARGTTTTCATCTGTGTTACTTAAGGGTTCTCTTGGGGAGCAACTAACTCTAATAAGACAGTGAATTGAAGGAGCAGTCTGTGCTCACCTGGATATGGCCTATGATTTATCAAAGAGAAATTCTTAGGGGGAGGATTTGATTATTAGCAGATTTTTTCAAAAGCTGTATTGATGCATTACAATGATATATATTTTTGTTATTTAGTGTGATAACTGCGATATTTGTCATGTTTCTTTCTGTCTTCTAAGGAGATGTTTTGCAATTAAATCATAAAATCTTAGACTTGCAGATCAGCTCTGCCTACAGAACCCTGTGGACATGAGGCTTGCAGGGCTTCTGGAATCTCACTGTCATAACAGTGCAGAGCACTGGCAGGATATTAACAATGTCAGGATGTGTTTTCTATGTATTTTGCTATGTGGAGAGAGGAAGAGAAACAACAGTCATGATTTTTCAGCATTCTCTTTGGTGTGTTAAATGTGTCAGGRGACATCCATATGTAAAGGAGACTTCTACTGTGTTGAATTAAATGATRATGGATTAAATTTTCACCCCTGTAGTTATGTTCTTCCTTCCTTATGCATCTGCCTATGTAGATAAGCATAGCAGGGAGTGTGTGTTCTCCATCCTCCTTGGTATTGGGGAGCCATTCACAAGTGTAGTCAAAGGCTGAGGTAAGCGTATTTCAAAGAGATGCATTGTACATGCTCAACAAGTCAGTCTTTCCTGTGTGATGCAGAATGACATTGTTACTAAAAAAAAAAAAAAAAAAAAAAAAAGAAAAGAGAAAAGCAGCAAGCTTCCTTTTAGGTTATAGAATGTAATTAGTAAAAAAAAAACTTCAAGCACCAGGGTGGTACAGGCAAGCAGGTGGCATGGAAGTGTTGATGGCAAGAGGGGAACGAGGACCTCAGAGGATAGCAGCTCCCAGCTGAGGGGAGCGAGGGGACATGGCCTGCTMAGACCTAACCCCTGTCCCCCTCACTCCCCTGGGGCAAACAGGACTTCACAAGCATGCTTACATCCTCTGGGAAAGGCACCACTCTGCTGCAGGTGTATTTTTGCAGAAAGAAGTAACTGGTAAAAATCCAAATTGTTGCACACATCTCATCACAGATTTCTGTTTTGGCAGCTTAGCCTGCTGTTCTTCATCAGCCTGCTCCTGGCTRTTGTTTCCCCTTTTATGATTTTCTAAGCTTCTGGTTGGAATTGGAAATCCAGAGTGATCTTCAGTGCTGTGCAAGTGTACAAAAACATATATTCTCTGTGCATTTCAAAATAACCCATTAGAGATTAAATGATAATAGGTTTATTTAGAGCCTGGAGGTATTTCCTTCTCATCAGCTATGATGCAACATCACATGGTAGATTAAAGGCCAGAGTCACTTTCAAGGCTATTTTTATTTTGTCCTCAAATAATCCCTGCTTTATGTATACATGTATATATATGTGTGTGTGTGTATATATATATATATATATATATATAAAATATTATATAGAAACCTTCAGGACCTAGTGCACTCCTCTCTGATTTTCTTAAATCAGTTTTGACACTAGGTTGTGTCCACATTTTCTCATGCAGTGCCTGTTATAAAACATGTAGGAGAATATAATATGAGTGGGCATGGCATTCAACTAGGAGTTTAAAAAGCTTCACATAGGCACCAAAAGTACACTGAACCCGCAGCAGGATTTTTTTTAGGCCACTTGTCTGAGCTGAGCATCACCTGCAGACAAGTGCAAGAGCAGCCTTGAAAGTTCTCCAGGGAGCTGAAATGTAACCAGTTACAAACTGTACCTTCCCYTCCTTGATTGCACAACCAGAATCAGAGCAAACGAGTGTAAAGGGAAACGCTCTATTTTGCAAAGGTCTCCAGACGATGAAATAAACAAAACAGAAACAAAAGCAAACACAGAAAATATGTTTTCCTCTRTCTATGCTTTTAGTTATTCTAGAAGCTGCTTGTACCACTGCCTAAGCAAAAGCTGTTACAGCACAGGTATAATTTTATGCCGGAGTAGCTCATTCTATGCTAAACACGCGTGATCCATGCAAATACAGGTGATTTTTTTACCTGATATGTTACACATTGTCTGCTAAATGCACAAACACTGCAAACTGGCAGMRATGGAGCGGGCCAGGAATACTTTTRGGCACTGGACTTGCCTTAGGGACYTCTTCCCCCCATCCTGAGCCCTTGCAAACATCTGTCTGAGGTTTGCTCAAACGTTGATTGTCTTTTTGGTGGTCTGAATGTGATCCAGCCTGCGCATTGCTCTTGTGGAGCACAGTCTTTTTCTAATGGATGGCACTAAAACCAAAAAACGAGTACTTGGGAATTACATAATTGCTTGCTCATTGGCCTTTTCCCCGCCCCCACTCAACAGATTTATGCTTTGACAACAAACCTTTTTCTKAGGTTGAAACTTTGTATAAAATACKTGAGTTCCTAAACAAATGAGCTTKCCAGGTGACCAGAGGCCAGATAAAATGCAAGGCAAAGAAACAGGCTAGGGGAGAAGAACTGATTATCGTTATCGGTGAGTGATGTTCCGTGCTTAACACATTCTCAAACACGGGAAAGCTGGATTTCCCTTGAGACCTTCATTTAGAACAGCTTAAATTCCGGAATGCGCTTAACTTCGCCCGTCGATTTCTATTGTGTTTAGAGCGGCTACTGATGTGCTCCCCCCGCACGGCTAAAGCCGCGCATCCCCCCCGGGCGGGAGCGGGCGGGGGCCGGCTGTCCCCAGCGCTCTGCCTGCGCCCCCGCAGCATTCCAGCGCCGTGCCCCGGCTCCGGGCACAGGAGATTCCCCCCGAGCCCACGCCGTGC